GCTCAAGAAAAGCCTGAAATACAGGCGCGGATCCAGGGGAAGGAGCGTGCTTGGCCCCCTCCCCTCCCCGCCAAAATAAAAGAGAAAGAGAGAATGAGAATAAGGGAAATAAAGAAGAGAGGAAGAAGAAAGAAAGGGGGAAGGAGATCCTCTATTGTAACTATTTTTGTTTATACAACTCGTGAAATATATTGACCTGTTCCGTTTTGTTTGTTTTAAAATTAATCAAGTTTATTTGTAAACACTAGCATTGGCGGATCCAGCGGGAGGAGGGGGGGGGGGGGTTAATATGATGTACATTTTGTTCCCATAATAACGGGAAACGGTTAATCCCATGAATACAAGAAAGAGGGTGGAGGGGAGCCAATAACAAATACCAAATAAATAGCAACAAAAGAACAAACAATAAATGAATCAGAAAATATTACGAAATCGGTGAGATGGCCTCGGACCTCCAATTATCACCTTATTAATCAATCAATAATGATCCCTCCTTTTCTAATATTCCTCTCTTCCTTCATTCCTTCCTTTCCTTTTTTTTATTTGTCCTTTGTACTTTTCTATTATCTTTTGTTGTCTTCTACTATTTCTCCCCGTCTATGTCTCTCTCTACAGTTATTTAGGATCTCTTAAGTCTTATTGGGGGGGGGGGGGGCCTCTCGGCCTCCTGAATTCATTTTAATGTTCGTTTCTTTTTAGGTACCTTTTTCCATTTTCGGAATTATGGACCCTATTTCATTTTCGGATTATGAACCCTATTGCATTTTTCGGAAATACGAACCTTCGGACAACCACCACCCCCCCCCCCCCCCCCCAGGAACGATAACCCCCGTGGGCTTTAACATCCGAGGACAAATATCCCCCCCCCCCCCCGGAACGAATATCCACGGAGGAAAATTAGCTCCCCTAGGACAAATATACGCCCGCCCCCCCCCCCCCCCCCCCCCCCCCCCGTTCATTGAAGGGGAAGTCCACCCTGATGATAATTTGCATTTTTTTTCGGGGGGGGGGGGGGGGTGAAAATCAAAGGGGGTAATTTTCCGAGGGGGAGGGGATAATTGCCTTGGCCGGGGGTGTTCGTCCTATAACCCTTTTATTTATATCAAGTCTCCTCTTCCTCCGATGTAGATTTCCTCTCCCACGAATCCTTTATTCTTATCCAGTTTCTGATTCTTCCCATCTATTTCCTTGTATACTTTATTCCTTTACAGTCGCCTCTTCGTTCCATATATTTCCTATCTCTGATATCATTTAATCTTTAATATCTACATGTATTTCCCTTCCTTTTATCCTTTATTCTTTGATTCGTCATCTGAAGACATCACCCTTCATGGATGTTTACAAGTCCCGTCAAACATTGATTGATTAACAAGTACATGTAAATGACATGAGGTCACTGTCCTCCACACCTCTACCTAACCCCGTCTTTCTACTTTCCTCTCTGCCCTCTCCCCCTCTCTCTCTCTCTCTATCTCTCTCTCCCTCCTGCACGTGATTACATTTCCCAGACATGTTTTGACAGTTCTTATCTAAGAAATATGACACGCCCCAGCCAGCTGAAACTGAAAGGGCTTGCATAGTCTGCCAATTCAGACGCCATACCTTAAATGACAACTGAAAACGAGCAAATAATTATTTGCTTTTAAAAAATAAAGTTGCAAATTATTATTTAGCCAATGAGAAGAGTTAACTTTTCATCTGAAAATCACCATTTAGAGATAGAACGAGATTGTACGAATCGTTGTTGTAGTGGTTTTAAAAATGGAATTATTGTGTCCGAAACTAGACTTAGCTTTTATACCATTGGTGGTTCCAACAACGTGTGTAAGGGAATTAATCTTTCGGATAACCATGGATATCCCTGGGATAACTTTCATCTGATTTTCGGATTTATAGTTAAACATGGATATTCTAAAAGTGGGACACGTCATAGAATCAGGTAAGTATGCAATCATTGATCAATCTGTAGCTAAACAAATTGCAGCTGCGTGATTATGCTTAGTTAAGTCGTTTGTATTTTCAAACCAGAATGAGCAAAGCGATGTGGGAATACTTTATAACTCATGTCCTATGTAGTTATCAAACTTGCGTGCCTCGCGTATCGATGAATGAATTGACCTACATTCATCCCTTTGTTTCATTGTGTTTGGTTACTAGGTTACACGCTGGGGTAGTTTAAGTTTATCAGACCATTATAATGTTCAATGTATTTGTGGCTGCTTTTACCTCTTGAAATAAAGGCTCTTCGTTATTCAAATATTCAACAATTGTTCTGAAATAATGATGGTATGGTGAAATCCTACCCAAACTCGTTTATTCTCATTATCAATGAACATTTTTTTCAGCTAATTACAAACGATGCCTAGTTGGCTAACAACCATCATGTGCAGTACGTGCGAACTTGTGGAATCAAGTCAGTCAATCGGCAATTTCCATTCATTACAGATCAAAAAATTGAAATCCCCATACATCTCTCACTCACATTAACACACACATTTTTATTTATGTTTTGAGGATAGACTAAACATACAAGAATCTCGTGTTCTACGAGACTGCGGACTCCCAAATGTGGTACATTACCGCGGGACATTATGGTAGGTGGGAGTACCGCGGTAACCAGTTGGGTGGCGGTACTCAATAAATTACCGTGGTAATTTGCTCCCGCGCGGTACACGGCGGTACGGTGTCTACTTTATTTCGAGCAATACTGTAGCAAGGGTTTCATAATGCAGACATGTATCTGTTTTTTCAGCCAAAAAACCTTATCAGTGTTAGTAGTTAAAAACATTGACAAAAATGTTAGACACCTTTCTGCTAGGAACACGATAAATTGTTTACACTTCAAAGTGAAAATGAGAAGAAAATGAGAGGAAAAAAAAAACAATGGTATCAAACTGTAGCTAACGACCCCATGAACAGGTCGGTCAGATGTTGCGAACAATTGACTATAAATATACGGAATTGCTTTAAATAGGAGACTTCCTTTTCTTGTAGTTGTACACATCTACTGCCAAAAAGAAACAAACAATATTTGATCCAGTTTTACACATGTGCTTTTCATGTCTTCATGGTGTGTCACTTCATAAATATAGGGTATGTACATGTACATGTACATGTACATGTATAGTGTAATATAGTGCCAAACTTGTTGTTCGTCTTCCAAGACAAAAGGCATGCACAACTGCACATGTACAGTACATACTGTAGTAATCAATGATATTTATTATTTAGTCAAACTTAAAGATAATGTACATGTACAGGGTTGGTCAAGGTTAACTTATGGTGTGATTTATTTTCCTTAGCACACTTTCAACTTATGTTTTATTCCCCCCCCCCCCCCTCCCCATCCCCAGCCTCCTCCCTCTCCATTCCTTCCTTTCTGTCCTCCCCTGCTCTCTCTTCTCCTCTCTCATTACCCCCACACCCCTTCTCTCCCTCTCTCTCCTCATCCATTCCCTCCTCTCCCACACCTCTCCTCTCCTTGGCAAGCACGTGAAGAGGGGAAGGAAACCCCTGATCAGCTCAGGAGGGAGGGAGAGGGAGTGATTTTAAGATGAACAGGCAAGGCGGAAGTCTCCAAGGTTTGAGACTTGTACTCGTAGAAATTCAAGCCAGCATGACATATACTAGACCGAATTTTCCGTCTCTTTCGTTCGTTAGCCTCTTATTGGGGTAGGGTCGGCTCTCTCTTTAGAGACGGAAGCCGTTTATACACATGTCCTTGCTAACGCCACGGCCAGTTCTGGTCGTAGCGTTTTGCCCCCAAAATCCCCCAAAATGTCATTTTACCTCGAGCATGTTATATTGTAAATTAGGCCTAGGCTATAATAAATCAGTTCCACTTACCAACTTGACTGAAATAATCAGTTTAATAGTCCCTTTTTAGGAAATTATGGGTCAAAATCGGAATCCATGTTGAAAAAGATTTTCAAAATGGATTTCGATTTTGACCCATAATTTCCTAAAAAGGGACTATTAAACTGATTATTTCAGTCAAGTTGGTAAGTGGAACTGATTTATTATAGCCTAGGCCTAATTTACAATATAACATGCTCGAGGTAAAATGACATTTTGGGGGATTTTGGGGGCAAAACGCTACGACCAGGACTGGCCGTGGCGTTAGCAAGGACATGTGTATAAACGGCTTCCGTCTCTAAAGAGAGAGCCGACCCTACCCCAATAAGAGGCTAACGAACGAAAGAGACGGAAAATTCGGTCTAGACATATACATAATGACCTAGAAACATGTAAATTTAGAGCATCTAAACATACTTACTTGCACCATAGATAGACTTATTTAAATACAAAGTAACATCATCCCTAATTCTAATTGTACTATATTATCTATTTGAAAGCCAGAAGGGTGTTAGTTATTCAAAGTTCATTACCTTAAGTCCTTACTTAGCTTTGGAACTCGGATCAATCAGATCGAAAGAATGACATTTCAACATGTTCAATTCAAATTCAAGTGTTACTAACACTGTCATGAGTGTTAGTGACTGTAAAATTTGAATAGTAAATGACAGGTGAGCTGAGATTCAGATCGAGAAGTGAAATGATCATGATGATCGATGAGACATCTGAGTGGTGGGTGGTTGTAAATAAATTCTTCTTTATGTTCTCTTAGACTCTATCAGAAGTGCATGCATGTTAAATCACAGAGTATCATTTTAGAAATGAAGTTTGATCTTTGAGATGTTTATGTAAACACAACGTAAAACAGCTGCTGAACATGTCAACGAGTCTGGCTTGGCTGTGCATCATTTTTTCCATTGCACAGCACAGTAACTTAGCCTGGAACACACAGCAGACAGACAAAGCATACCGTACCGTACATTTTCAATACAGTCGACTTGCATGGACAATCAGCTGGTCGATGTGTCATCAATCGTCCGTCGTTTCCATCTCGTCATAAGTAAATAACTAACCGTCTTAGAAGACAAAATTGCCTCCACAGCCTAATTTCAGGATCCCTGTACAAAATTCAAAGTTATACTTACGGATCACAGTAGTCCTGTGTTACTATCTCTCCACATATCTATACGAATTCTGGATGGTAAACCCCATTTCAACGGAAAATTTCGTGTAATATTTCCGTAAGATTTCAGGAGACGACCATCGATGGAATCTCCCATTTGTGTTGCGCAATAAACCTTGTGAGAGCGAGCTCGTGTTATGATAGGTCAACTACCCAAAACGTCATGCGCAAATCGATATTTGTGTTACCATGGCGCATTTGCCGTACCAGTTGCAGCTGAAATTCTCCTCATCACAAAAGAATTTTCCATCCTCCGCCTTTCACGCTTCAAAACAAATGTTATGGGCCAGAAAATAACAAAGGGGCACTTCGCATAGAACATACCATCGGAAACCGGTTCTGCGTAAACACTAGATTGTTGTAGTACCGTTTGAGATAAATAGATCTAAATGCATGATGCAATTTTTTTTCCCACAACAAATAGGCAGGTATATACCCGGGTATATATAGGCCCTAGCTACGCAATCAGGTATATGGATTTTTTTTTCTGAAGAAGGGTTACCCATTATGATGTCCAATATTATTGTTTGTGTTGTCTGTTTGTGTAAGTGGGACCTATTACATCTAGGGGCGCGGTGATGTCTTATCCTGATCGGGGGGGGGGGGGGTGGGGTGGGGGGAGGGGTTGAGGATCGAGGGGTATTTTCTGAACTTCTGAAGGAAGCATATCGACCGAGCCTGAGCAGGAATGGTCTGTGAGGGTGATAATCCCGCCAACCAGGGCCCCACCTATATGAAGCAGGCTTTACACGCTTCAAAATTGAAAGAAAAAAATGTATTCCTTATTCGGTAAAAACCCCGAACATTCAGCATTAGGCCTACGGCCGTTGTGGGGATCTTAGAATTTAAGAGCATTTTTAATAATAAATAATAATAAAAACGGTGCTTATAAAGCGCTTACCAACAGTCTCAGGCTAATCAAAGTTCATATCCACACCTTCCCTATTTCTGCTATTGGCATTAGGAAGCGTTAAATGATTATTTTTAGACGGTAATTTGGACGATTTTCTATAAAAAATTTTTTTTTTTTTTTTTTTTTTGGGGGGGGCTTCTTCGTTTTCAAAGCCGGCCGCCCCCCCCCCCCCATCTGCATCTGCTTACATCGCCGACATTGCTGTTGGTAATCGCTTTTATAAAATTTGCATTCAGTGTAGGTTTTTTAAACACAATATAGTACAGGCACCCCACCCCCCCCCCCGCCCCCTTCACCTACAGAGGCAGCTTTGAAGGCCTATAGGACTGGATATAAGCGAGGGATTCGGCATATAGCGATCTTTGTATTCTAGAGCATTTAAGTTAGTGTTGCTTTACTATTACTTGCTTCTTCTTTTTTAAAGGGGAGAGGGAAGATTTCCCGGCCCCCCCCCCCCCCCCCCCACTCAGGTTTAAAAATGACCGCATGCGTGTTGCCAAAATGTCCTTTTCGTAACAAAAGAAAAAGGTCGAGCCGTATTGACTTTACACACCGGACTTTTGCTGAAAAGGGGGGGGGGGGTGCGGAAAAAGGCTCGTATACAAAAGAAAAAGGTCGAGCCGTATTGACTTTACACACCGGACTTTTGCTGAAAAGGGGGGGGGGGTCGGTTGGAACACGCATATGCGTACCCTAAATAACACTGAGTGGGGGGGCCGGGGAAGATTTGCCCTGGCGATATCTCCCGGCCCCTTGGCGAAAATCCAATCTACGACTTGGCACCCCACCCCTCACCCCATCCGTCAAGGGGGGGGGGGTCCTATATGCAAACGCATTGTGAACAGTATTTTTTCTAAATGTGTGTACACACTATGAATATGACGGACAAAGAAAGAGGACAAAATATACAGTTCCTCAGGTAGATAAAGGAACATCCCTTCACTGCTTTTATGTAAAAATGTGTGGAACAGGTGTCACATGCATATTCACCTGTTCTACACATTTGTACATAATAGCAGTGAAGGGATGTTCCTTTGTCTATCTGAGGAACTGTATATTTTGTCCTCTTTCTTTGTCCGTCGTGTTCATAGTGACATGCGCTCCTATATACAATTTTCTCCGAATACAGGATTAGATTAGACATTATTAGCCGTACATGTATGCAGCCCGTATGCATCTTTTGGGGAGGATACAGGAATTCCAGAAGGGGGCATTTCTCAACCCCGGACCTTTTCCTCCCTCGAGAACATGAGTATAAATTCACTATCCCTCTCACGGCTCAGTAGCCATCGAGAAGAAATAGGAGTGAGGGAGAGAGATCGAGGGAGAGAGAGAGAGGGGGAGAGAGAGGGAGGGAGAGAGAGAGAGAGAGAGAGAGAGAGAGAGAGAGAGAGAGAGAGAGAGAGAGAGAGAGAGGGGGGGGGGAGAGAGAACCGCTGGATACTATACTGAAGACATATCTTTTATCCTTATTATGTGTTTCTCTAAAGGCCGCCCCTCTCCAACCTCATAATATGTCAGTGTCCTAAATGCGGTTTATGGCCATCCTCCCCCGAAATAAATTATTAGCCCCCCCCCCCCTAATTTTTGTCCCTGCTCTGTCCATAGTTATAATCACACCAAATGTCTCATTCAATCAAACATTTACCATCAACAATTCCCTCCACTTTCTGAAATAAAACGTGCCAAGAGTATTCTTTGAATGCCTCTTTTGATATGAAACGATTTGACAAAGGTCATCATAAGTTCAAGGTCGCCCTGAATAAATCTCAGACAAGGCAAGCAAACAAAGAAGTGAGCTAAAAGAGAAACTTTATGACCTCAAAGGAGCAGACTCGTAGCCAGAGTTTAATGTACAAATGTTATCGATCGACGTCCTGGGGAGGGGTCTAAAAAATTTCAACCAATCTTGGACAATTTGGGGGGCACGTGCCCCCCCCCCCCCCCCGTGGCTACGTGCCTGCAAAGGAGGAGGGGGTGGTGGAGTCACAATTCTGGACCTGATCCTTGTATGCATAATAGTCATTGGAATTTCAAAGTGTGTGTGGGGGGGGGGGGGGGCTAGTGGAAGAACAAGATCTACCGGGCCTATCCGTTCACTCCTTCCCATCTAACGTCTTTCACGGGTTCCAATAATTATGATCAAATATTTTGAAAGTGAAATGTATTATTATTTTGATGACAGCTTTTCCAAAATTTATCTCTTTAATGCAAGAAGTTTGGAGCTAGTTGGAGGGGGTGTGTTTAGTCATTAACAAAGGGTTATTTTATAACCACAGCAATGTTTGCTCGAATTGAGTTTTGCATAAAAAGCAGAGCCAACCAGTTTTAAAAGAAGTACTCGAGGTTCATTGAGAATTTGTTATCCGATGTATGAAAATTGAGAATGATCCTATCTGCCCCCCCCCCCCCACTCAGTGTTATTTAGGGTACGCATAATTATGCATGCTCCCTCCTTTTGAAAACACCCCTCAAGTCCAGTGTGTAAAATGGGCTTTTGTGTACTACGAGCAGGGGCGTCGCCAAAGGGGGGGTGTGGGGGGGGTGCGACACCCCCACCTGTCAGGATATTGTCGGTAAAATTGCGCTGCCGTCGGGAAAAAGAGAAAAGGGGGAGGGAAAAGAGAAAAGGAGGAGGGAAAAAAAAGAGAGGGGAAAAAAGAAAGGGAAAAAAGAGAGGGAAAGGGAAAGAAAAGAAAAAAAGAAAAGGAAAAGAAAAGAAAGAAAGGAAAAGAAAGGAAAGAAAGGAAAAGAAAGGAAAGAAAAGAGAAGAAAGAAAGAGAAAAAAGAAAAAGAGGGAGGAGAGGAAAGAAAGGAAAAGAAAGAAAAGAAAGAAAAGGAAAAAAAGAAGAAAGAAATGTGAAAGGGAAACAAAAGAAACGGGGATGAAAGAGAGGAGAGAGAGGGGAGGTAAGAGTCTGAGAGAGGAGGAGTGGGAGTAAAAGAGAGAAGGGGGTTGTTGGGTGGAGTCGTCTCGTCGAGAGAGCAAGAAAGACACGGGTAAATATGTTGCTGTGTCGGGTCAGCTGTGTCGGTATTCTTGCTCGATCCTCGTGTACTATATCAATGCAGAAATTTGAAGTCGGTGAGATGTATATTGTCGGTCGGCAGACAAGTTTTTTTCCCTACGAACTGTGACTTCTTATCCGCTGTGACGACTTCGAGAGTGACTACAACTACAATACTTGTATTTTCTCGAAGTTTCACTTTCCTATAATATCAGCTAAAGAAATCGGAGGTTTAAAATTTTCGGGGAAACTAAATTCAAACAAGGTTTAAGAGTCAACAACGGTACGACGAATCGTTTTCCTTTCTTTATATTGTGATGAAACGCCAAAAAAATGAAACGGCAGGGAAAACTTCATTTAGACGAGTCGAGAACGGTACAACGAATCGTCTTCTTTCTCTAATAATTTAAGGAAATGTCAAAGCTTCCGCGCTTTGCGCGAGAGTGGGAAACTGAATTCAGACAAATAGGGCTTATTAAAAGTCGAAAACGGTACAACGAATCGTGTTCTTTCTCTAATAATTTGAGGAAACGTCAAAGCTTTCGCGCTTCGCGCGAGAGGGGGAAACTGAATTCAGATGAATAGGGCTTAAAAAGATTCGAAAACGGTACGAGGAATCGTCTTCCTTTCTCTATATTGTGATGAAACGCCAAAAATTCCGCGCTTTGCGCAGAAGGGGAAAACTTCTTTTAGACGAGTCGAGAACGGTACGACAAATCGTTTTCTTTCTCTAATAATTTAAGGAAACGTCAAAGCTTCGGGGGAAACTGAATTCAGACAAAATTAATAGGGCTTATTTAGAGTCGAAAACGGTACAACGAATCGTGTTCTTTCTCTAATAATTTGAGGAAACGTCAAAGCTTTCGCGCTTCGCGCGAGAGGGGGAACTGAATTCAGATGAATAGGGCTTAAAAAGATTCGAAAACGGTACGAGGAATCATCTTCCTTTCTCTATATTGTGATGAAACGCCAAAAATTCCGCGCTTCGCGCAGAAGGGGAAAACTTCTTTTAGACGAGTCGAGAACAGTACGACGAATCGTCTTCTTTCTCTAATAATTTAAGGAAACGTCAAAGCGTCGGGGGAAGCTGAATTCAGACAAAATTAATAGGGCTTATTTAGAGTCGAAAAAGGTACAACGAATCGTGTTCTTTCTCTAATAATTTGAGGAAACGTCAAAGCTTTCGCGCTTCGCGCGAGAGGGG